TCATAAGGTACGGTTTGGGTATAACGGAACTTGCGGATGCCAATCGATGTACGGTGTTTGTCGGAACATCGGGTGGAGCCCCCCCCCCCCCCCGCCCTACACACATACGTTTTGGCGCGGCGTCAGCCTATTTCCATCAATAGCCTATAGTGGCAACGATTGATGGAAATGAGCTAGCGCTGCGCCCGAACGTCCGTACGCAGGAACGACTTCACATAATGCAATGCACAAGTCAATGTTTTCCTCTTAGAGGGTCATGTTACGATGGTTAGTTGGGCTCTGTTCCCGAGCTAGGTTCCACCTGTACTATGCTAGTGTACCACTGTGGTCGAGATCACAGTAATCGTCCCTGAAAATGATAGGGCTGTGAGAGGGCGTGGACTGGAACGGTGCTAAGCCAGCCTTGCATCAATAATGCCATCCTAGGTCCGCAGCGATTCGCGGGAAGGGCTGTTCTGGGTACAATCCAACTCACGCCCCTTAACATGCCCTACCGTTTGCCGGGACAATGACTGTGCCCTCCCTTATCCTGTATTACATCACTACTAACCCAGTTTTTCAAAAATCCTTTTCCAGATAATGTAACCACTTATATCTTTCATTTTCAGTTATGCCTGAAGGAATTCAAGCCGACATCGAATTTTCTCCGGCACGTCGCCAAGGACCACCTTGACATGCCGCTTTTCCAGTGTGCAATGTGTGATTGGGGCGCTGCAGATGCATACGAAGTGAAAGCGCATATGGTCAAGGTGAGGAACCATATGTAATAGCTGAGTGAGGAACGGCCTCATTGGTCTGCAGGGCACGTCGTACGTTGGAGATCCGCTACACAGGGTCGTATTTGGTCACTGGCGGGGGATCGTATATAGGCTGGGAAAATTTTTCTGACTGTTAATCTTTTCCGTTTCGCGGGTGTTGCGTCCGTTCCCCTTTAGCTGACAATGCGACAAAACCACTGTTTCTGGTTGTTATCGGAGCTATGCCTACTTTTCCATTCTCGGTTGGTTGTTTAGAGGGGGGGGGGGTACCGGAGGATGTGGGGACTTGGGCGCGGGGTCGTGTTTAGCAAAAACTCTCTACAACGCCACGACGTGCTCTGTTGGTATGGGCCCAGTTAAAGGCAGTGGGCACGATTGCTGGAGGCGGGCGGTTGTTGCCAGCGTCATTGGTGGAGAGCTGCGAGAGGGCGTTTGACCACACCCCACACAGCCCTTCCACCAATGACGTTGGCAACAACCGCCCACCTACAGCAATCGTGCCAATTGTCTTCAAGTACCTGTTACTTGTAACTGGTTGTTTCAGGCGCATAACAACGCGGATTCGGATCCAATATCCAATCTCGAGCTAAATTCAGACCATGTTCAGCAACGTTTCTCGGAATGTTTCCCGTCCAGAAAAATGAAGGTCAGTTTTTGCCTGGAATAAGTAATCACTCGTTATTTTTTTGCAATACTTCTTGTTCTTTTTTCAAATTTGCTGGTACAGAGGAAAACCCGTCATAGCGGCGACTTCTTAGAAAACTGATTTTGGTAGGTAAAAATCGAAACTCAATATGATTTCAGCCGGGTACGTTCGACAAGCGGAAGGAGTCAACGATGATCAGTGATGAGACTAAAGTCACATGTCAGGAATGTTTCCAAGAGAATGAAAACCGAAGATCGTCAGGTACGAACATAACCAGTGCAGAAATCAATATATCGATTTTCATGGGCTACTGCTGAAAGTTTATCCTCGCATGAATCAATGTATCGATTTCTTTAGATTCATGTCTATCGACATCATCTGAAGGAACCACGTCTTTATGAATGTCCGCTTTGTGATTTCTCCCATCATGCTTGTTCCAGTGATGTTCGTGCTCATATCAAGTGAGTACATCACATGTGTATCTATAAAATATAAAAAAAAACGTGAATGGGGCGGCTTTACACGAGATTCTGGTGTAGTTGCGGACTGACGGCAATTTATATTTGAAGTGTGTATTGTTCCTTTCTAAGTGCAAGCATGCAGGCTCCTAATTGCGACCTATCCAGGAAGTAGCTTGACGTGCAGTCCTGTTCGTTACATCACTTTCAGATCGAGTCAATTAGGCCTTGGTGCGAATTTCGCGCGCGCGACACCTCACTGTCGCTGCTAGGATCTCCTGAACGACACATTTGTTTCTGTAGGTTATTTGAGTACGTACAAATTATATTCCTGCGATCA